AGTCGCGAAAACGTCAATCACAAAATCTTTGCACTCAGTCAAGCAGTTGTCGAAATATGACGAAAGTATAATAAATAAAGAAAAGGTGGAAAGCAATGCGTATTAAATTGTCGTATACTCTGTCATCTACAAAATACTGGAGATTAACTAGAGAATTATAATAAATATATACGAACTACTTATTAAATATTAAATCTTTATTTTTCATTAAATTTGTAAATATTTTATTCCTTCATATTTTCTTTTAAATTGATCATAATTCTTTAAATATTTATTTATTTTGGTTTTAATAGAAACTTGTATGCAAAAATTACTATTTATTTAGTTTTATATAAAAAAATTAAAAAGAAATTTTTTAAATGAAGAAGAAATTTTAAAAGTATTAGCTTCACGTAAAATTTCATTCATTTGAATTTAAATAACACAAAAATTATATAGAAGATAAATTGATTTGCAGATAAAAAAAAAATAATAATAATAATAATAATTTGAAAATGTATAATATTAATTAATTAAGCGAAATTTCATCATCATTTTTAATTTATTAATAATTATAAATTAATGTTTTATATTTTATTATTTTGCTGTATTATGATTTATTATTTATTTGCAGTAGTTTTGTATTTCTTCCCTCTGATATATGCGTACGCTCATTATTGTTTATTTGCCAACATAATCCTCTCCAACGTCAGAATTTTATAATAATAAATGCATTTATGTATAAATTTATGGATGTTCACTCAAGGAAATGTAAAACTTAAATGGAAAACTTTTACATCGTAAACTATTTTGTGAATGTGATTCATTAGCCATAAAGATTGGTAATTTGCATTTGATTGATACATTGCTGATCTGTTCCAGATATAAAGCCTTTCGTTAGGGTATTAAATCCACACTTTGGCACTTAAGACAATAGGCAAATCGCATGGCAAATATTTGAAATTTTAATTTGCTTGGGCGGCTCAAGCCGAGTCTTGGAACCTGTCCCGACAGCTACTGCGAGATACTTAAATGGGGTTGACGGCTTTTATAAGCAACGTCCACTGATGCCGGCCCACGCCGAATGCTACTCACCTCAAAGTGTGTCGCAAACTCATCGAAGAGGCCTTTCAGATCGCGCTGATTGCGCAACATCATGGGCAGAATCTCCTTCTCGTGCAGCTCCAAGATCTCGGAGATGTTGCCCAGGAGCAGCTGCTGTCGCTGCTCACCGCGCAGTCCCTCGGGCAAATCCTCGCACTTCTGTAGGTTTCCATAGTTGCTGATGCCCTTGCGCAGATAGTTCACATAGTTGACCTCCGTCTGGATCAGTTCGTCAATAATGAAACTGATCTTCTTGGAAGCATAGATTTCCGTTTGATCGCAGGGAAAAAGATTCTCTAGCGACAATGTATCCTCATCTTCGTGGCTAAATTGAAAGAGCAAACGAGAAAACCAACAATTAGCAGCGCCAGCTGAATGAAATCTTAAGGTTTGCTGCCGATGATCAACTGGGTCTACATGATCGATTGGAGCCATGCTACTTACTACTCATCGCTAAGGGTCTCAAAACTGATGGTATGTGTGAGAAAGCCGTTGTGCGCATTGTGTGTAGGAGATGAGTTCGTTGCCGAGGGTGTTCCCGGTGTAGCACACGTTGTTGTTGTCGCTGTGGTGCTGCTTGAGTGAATTGAATTCAATGAGATGCCACTGTAAACACAAAACAAACATGGATGCAAACGGATGAGTAACACAAAGGGAGAGTAACAACAACAACAACAACAACAAATTATTAGTTGATAAGAGCTGGACCTCTAATCAGGCTGACAAGTACGCCAAGATTCCTCGAATACATGCTCAGACTAGACTCTGTAGTCTCAACTAATTTAATAGACTTGTATTTATCCATAAAGACTATTGTGACGTTGCGTTAGATTATATAATTTTACTCAATTTATAAACTGATCTCAGTGCATAGTTTCATATCAAAAAATAATATTGTGTAATTTAATTTAAATATTTAGCTAAGAAGTCAGGAAATGTCAATTTATAGATTTTTTATATTCACAAACAAACATTGGTTCCTTAATGGGAAAGCGAATAGTAATTCCCATTATATTTATCAATAAACCTTTGATATATGTAGTTCAATAGGTTAACAAAAATTTTAGTAGTTAATCATATACATTCAATTACACTCTACACACACTCCCATAATCTTTATAATGGGCAGCTTATCGCTAATATTACTTTCCATACATTAACAATAGTTTGACAATAATTACCAACTATCAGATCGTATTCAGTTTCTTATGCAAGGCACGTCTGGGGACGTTCCCCGCAAGCGATTCTCTGGAAATCGGCTAAAAATAAACCTAAACTCAGTATGTTAACATTTGTTCATAAGCTTATCTTATCACGTATACGCCACGTTAAACATTGTAAAATACACGATATACAAAATACACATATAACAACATGTATAATTCTCTACTGTGACATGAACAATAATGACCAACCGTAGGGGGGAAATGTTTGAGAGAGCTTCACAGGCAAATATAACACACAAATAACACATTTCCAGGGAATCAATAGGATGAAATTTTCAGTTAGACCCACCTATCGCAATCCAGAATGCTGGCTTGCTTCTCAAGCTTCCCATTCGACGCCTTTGGGGATATCGAACCGCTTTTTGTAAGAGTAGCAACTCCGTTTCCGTTTACCGCGCAATCCGTTTCAGAGATATCGACACTTTTCGTAGACTTTCCATCGCCCAGCACATGCAAATAGACGTTGAGCACTTGCACAAAGGCTATGGATAGAAATGTAATTGCAACGGGCAGAATATCGAACCAGCTGATGGCAAACATGTTACACTGTTTCACAATATGTCACACTAATCGAATATCAATTGATTGGACAGGCCATTGGATAACACAGTAAACTGAATATTTTGCGTCTAAGTCGATCGCTTGAATCCAAAAAAAGATCGTCGCATCGTAAACCGCACGAACCGCCGCGTAGCAAATGCGATAGTCAACTGTTTCAAAAGTTTGCCATAAAAATTCAATTGTTCGCCGCGCGAGCTTTGGCAGCGATCGTGCGAAACTTTATAGCAAAAGCTCACGCTTACGCTCCCTCTCTCGCTCTTGCTCTCAGCTCTCGCGCTCTGCTCTCGGTTGCTCACTATTTGTTTGTCTGTTTCTTGGCAGCACGCGTCAGGCAGGTATTTGTTTATAAACAAAATGCAAAACTGTAAAATTATTGAAATGTCTGCTGGAATTCATAATTTTACACTTTTGCTTTCTGCCCGTCAGTCTGGCCGTCGCTAATTAAGAATTTCAATTAATGATCAACGAGTATTGCCTGATTAATGGCTATAGCTGTAATTATGGCTATGGCTATAATTTAATGCTATCATGTCTTTGGCTTCGCCTTGAACTTATTTGGGCCGAAGTGCTCAAATCTTGCCTCATTTCATAGTCAAGTCTAAGCAGCTTTGGCTAAGCGCTCATTAGTTACACTTAGCTGCGAGTGTCCACAGTGCAAATCAAATTTATGGTGATGATCTCACAAAGATCGCTCACTGTTTGTATGTATGCAAATATGTATATAATTAAATAAATACTTTATTGTCATCGTCGTTGTCGACGTTGCAAATTTCACAAATGAATTGTTCACAATTCATTTTATTTATATTATTTGTAATTGATTTTTGTTTTATTTTGCTATTCTTTTTTTAGACAATGCGCGCTCACACCCCTCATAAATTGTGTGCTGGGAATGAGGCAACAATTGGTGGACATAGTATATGTTGAAATCGGCAGATACCAGGAATCGACAATTATTATAGCCCCATCACGATTGATGAGCTGCATGCTCCAAGCTGCGAGCAGCAGTCTGCAAACATTTTGCATGAATTGAAGAGCTACAAATGAAACGCGCCACAAATGTTTCTATATACATACATACACATATGCATGTGTGTGTGTATATATATATAAGTATTTTTATTTCAGCTTGTCTTAATTTTTTTGTGGGAGAACCGTTTATTTTTAAACATTTTCAAAGTGATGTCACAAGCTGTTCAAGTGCCAAAACAAGTTATTCGCTTGTTGTTGTTGTTGCTGCTGTTGTTGTCGTTTGTGTTGTGGCATATTATTAACAATATCGTTTGGAGGCCAATTAAGCGGGCGAGACGCAGAGATTCCCGGGCACTTCAATGGCGTGCGACCTTTTGCATGTTAAATCTGTTATTCGACGAATCTCTTATATCCATTCGATAAGCAAATACGTATATAGAAAATGGAATATGTTTTACATTTCAATCATGTTTGACAATCGCATTGTTAGGCAAAGCTTTTAAGTAAATTTGTTTAAATGAATTACATACAATATTGATATAATTTCTTCTATGAGCACCATACTCGAAACTTCATTTATATACATATAAAAATATATTTGATATATCTAGAACTGTTTCTTATTTAAACCTAATCATTAAGCTTTATAATTTAACTAAATTGCTTAATGTTAATTCCCTCTAAGACTATCTGCTCAAACTTAAGATTCGTTTGATTTTAGTTTCCATTGTAGTGCACTATTTTTTAACTAAGTACAAAGCGCACACGAAATGCCAGTTTTTACGGTATTTAATACACCTCAGTAATATACGTTAAACCTACGACGGATACTCAGTCTTTAATGTCTTTGATAAGCTAATACTTGAGTATTATTTACATCCGTTTTGCGTAAATTTCCGCTAATTATCTAGCTATCTTTACAATCAAGTGCTTATCTTTATTATCACTTCCTAGACTTCAACCTGAATGTATTGTTACAATTTAAGCGTCATCTAGTTTAAGGGTTTTAATACCCTGGGCAGGTCAGTTAGTACACACATTGAGTTCTATAATCAAAGCCTTTGGTAAATTTATTTACCTACAGATAATTTCCCTCAGGCTAAGCCTGTTCTGAGCTGTTAATGTTAAATAGTTATGTTAAATAAAATAAAAGCACAATTTATGTGTTAACAACAATTTAGTTTACTTGTGACAACATCGAATAGAATATAAATATAACAATAATTATATAATTTTTTGTTTTAAATATTACAATTAACTTAATTGGCAATATTTGGTGTTTTAGCCTTAGACTTAAACAGCTTTTTCTTAAATTTTTTGTTTTTTTTTTTTTCCATTTTTTTGGTTTTGGGAAAGTAACTAGTCATAACAAATTTAGTATATAATAATAATAAACATGTGTCAACTCCTATAAGCAGTTGACTAATTGCACAGGCTCATTCCGGTCCAGCCAGCTGTACAGCTCCGACTGAGGCGACCTGGCCAAGGACACATGAGCACCCTCATGGTCTGTCTTTTGGATACCAGTTCAGTGGGGCGAAAGTCCCTCGCTGGGCAACTTAGGAGGCTGCGTACCAGGTGGTGCGATTGCTGGTCGCCTCCTCCTCCGGCTTGGGCATTACCCAGATGTTGCCAATGCCGCTGTCCGAACTGAAGCGATTCGAGTCACGATAGAGCGATAGACTGGGCGCCTTGCGATGCAGATGATCGTTTTCACGACAGTAGCGATCATGCAGCTTCTGCCGCTCCTCGTTGGCGTAGTTGTTGATCATGTCGCGGATGAGATCCAGCCAGAGCTGAATCTGTGCGGGATCTGCGCTAAATTCGCACTCCTGCTGCTTGCGTCGCTCATAGAAGAGTGTGAAGGATTTGGTTTTGGCCGCTATGCCGATATGCTCGCAAGGATATCGACCGTGGAATACCAAGTGCTTGCCCTTGATCTCCGTGTAGATGATGCACTTGTCGAATATGAAGACCTTGGCACGATAGCTGCGCTTCAGCTTGTGATCAGTCACGTGAAACTCGCTCACCTTACGGAACTTGCCTTGGTAATACACATTAAACTGCAAAGAATATTAGTTAGAGACGATTACATATCCTAATTCAAGGGGGCTAACCCACCTCATTGCAGTCCACAATATCATTGATGATCTCCGATTCGTTGGTGGTGATCAGCAGGGTGCGCAGACGCTTCTCTAGACGACAGCAGGACTCAATCAGTGGCTTCATCACGATATCACGATTCTTAAAGAATGTCTGTGGCATATATAACATACAAATTAGTAAACAGTTGATGCATTTCTAGGCTATACTTACATTGATGAACTGCGTCAGGAGCAAGGGATAACGCGCCATGCGCTGTATAGGCTGCACCAGGAAGCTATTGATGCCCAGCTTATCATCGCGCTCCAGACGTATGCTCTATAAGAAAAATATACCTTGATCGTACTTTCCAGTTAACAGTTAAGGGAGTAGATATTGCCTACCGTAAAATAGTTCTTATAGAGATCGCACAGCTTTAAGGATTTCTGCTTGTTCATCGTGAAGATCACATAGCCATAGAAATAGTTTTGCTATCAAATGATATAAATTTATATTTATTTACAATTTTATGAGCATCAGAACGGCGCAACTTACATCCAAAAACTCTAAGAACTCGTCAAAGAGTCGTTTCAGATCGCGACGATTTCGCTGCAGCATGGGCAAGAACTCATCGCGATGGAACTCAGCGATTTGCTCAATGTTGCCAAAGAGATCGTACTTCTTGCCCCGCAGACCCAGGGGCAGATCCTTGCGTTGGAAGATATTGCCATAGTTGTCCAGGCCCGTAAACAGATTCTTCACATAGGCCTCCTCCGTATGAATAAGCTCCTCGAGTATGGGGTGCACACACTTGTCGCTCTTATCACGCAGCTCGATTTCAGTCTCATCCTCTCTAAAGAATTGAGAAAGCAAAAATTAGACTTAGTTCAACTGTATATTTATGTTGCACTTACTCCTCTTTGGGCTGATAGACGGAATGAAATTTATTAACCAGATGATGGTTGGTTGTGCCAATAATTTCAGTCTTCCTCCTTGGTGTGGAACGAAAATTTCTGTGTGCGATAAGAGAACAGCGAAGAGGTCAAACACGGCAATCTTTTAATAGAATTTATCATAAAACTTGGAACCAAGTGCGTTACGAAAACAATAGTGACAAGAGGAAGAAGAACAAATTACGCTGCGATAAGACACAGCCAGGCGCGGCGTCGCTGAATGAATCACTTGCCGTCTGAGTGCCAACTGATAAGCGCCACCCGTTCCATGGGAAGAGCCCATGGGACACAGGGATTTAAATTATAATACATTGTTTGCCAAATGATTCAGTGCGGGGAACTACAGCGGCGACAACTACAAGCGGCGAGAGTAAATAGCGAGAGGGTAGCCTCACCTTTGGTACATGCTTCTTCTGATCATCAGTGCCCTGAAATACATTTAGCCCACCGAAGATACTGTGCACGGCCACCGACAGCTTTCGCAAGCACTCGACGAAAAAGTCGAGCTGCGAGATTAGGAACCAGGAGAACATGATCACCAACAACATGGACACGCCGGTGAGTACGAAGCCAATCAGCTGGAAGACGGAAGACACACAGACTGCAAAGCTAGAAAGTAACACCGATGCGACAATGACGGAGTTGAGTACCTACCCCGTCGACAAGGCGCTCCGGCTTATAGGGGGTAGAAATTGGTTGGTGGAGAGGGGGATGAGTGGATCTGTAGTCAATGTGCGAGTCACTGCCCATATAGCTTTCCGAATTTATCTGTCTTAGGCTGGTCATAGATATTGTGGAATTGGTCACAGGTCTTCGTCTGCCAGGCCAAGAATGGACACTGTCAGCATCGCTATTGACTGCATCGGTGTCCGTGACTATTGTAACGCCGCGCTTATTTTCATCCGTATTCATGCCCGTAGTCACCATCAGGGGCGGAGGACTAGGGGGCTCCTCCGTGATTTCTGCCTCATTGCTGGGTCTCTCGTCCGCGATTCTCACGTGGAGCACGCTTTTGCCAGTCTGAACCTCTTTGCTCGGCTTGCTGCCGCTTGGCCCATCGTTGGGATCTGAGCCACTCATATTTTAGCTGAAGCTGATATGTAACACTTGAGCTCGGCAGATACATTTTACAAATTTCGGTACATTTTCTAATCAAGTTTAAATTGTTTCTAGATTTTTGTTGTTGACAGCTGACGCCAACCGAGTTGCGACCGGTTCCAAAGCCAAACACAAACGTAATTTAAACTCCAGACACTTGCCAATTAAGTTCGGCATTAACAAGGCGATAAATACCAGTGAATCGCTATGGCCAAGTCACTTAATTGGACTTACGACTTTGCAAATTACTAAAATGAACCACCTGATGACCAAGCAATCAATAAGCAAAGCCAAACAGGTGTGATGCTCCACAATTTGTCACATATATCAGAAGTAAGCAAATATGGGGAGTATAATTTACATTGGAAAAGGTTCTCAAACTGATTTTCAAATATCAGCTGAACGCAATGATCGAGAATAGCTCGGCAAATATTAATCTATAGCCCATCTTTCGTGAGTTGAATATGTGAGAGTATAACCACTAACCAGAGATAGTTAGTTGGTTAGTGATATAACTAAGGCAAGCCCAAGTTTAGCAACACATAAACAGTGTTGTATAACTGCCAGAATAACAAACTGATAAGACAATTTCTCTGCGTTATCTCAAAGCTAAAATTTGATAAAGAACTCGCAGCAGTTTGTTTAATATATAATCTAGTGTTGTAAAACGAAGACATATGAGAAGTATTAACGTTTCTCTATGTGCATAATACTTGCTCAAATTCACTCAAGAATCGATAGTTTAGGAAGCGCCCACTTAAGAGATAGGCGTATCTGTAGAGGCCAACCATATGTAACACTTTATAGGATTGTGCAGACAAGAGTAAGACTAGACACACTCGTAATTTCAAGTCTCGAAGAAACCTATAGAAAACCAATATGCTCTTTTCACACTACAAACGAGTATACGAGTATAAATAACAAAAGAGAAACAACTTAATTTGGATATTGATAAATGACTAGCTATAAACAAACAAGAACGCGGCTAATTTATATGTGTTTTTTATAACAAACGACACGAACTGATAAGATATACTAAATAATATCTGTTAGCCAAACACTGTGGAACATACCTTGGGAAATCTTTGTCAGTGCGCAGCTTGGTGGGATCCGCGCTTATGGAACGCTGCACCGCTTGGGTCTTCACTTCATCCGCATCTGTGCAGCTGGCGGGCAGCACAGCGGAGCTGCTCTCGCTGAGCACGTACTCGACCGCCTCCTGAGGATCCGCTTCAAAGTCTGAGATCTGATCGACCTCGTCCTCGGAGCGCACCTCATCAATGCTGAGATGGTTGCTGGATACGGAATCGGTGCGGGAGCTGAGACCTGGCAGAGCAACACGTCGCGGCGGGGGTGGAGTTCGAATTTGAACCTGATCTGTGTACTGCGAGAAGCTGGGATGGCGACGATTCTCGAGCAGCTTCAGGCTAAGGCGATCTTGCCGCAAGTAGCTAATTGTGGTCTTCAGCGTCTCGAAGCGCTGCACCTTCTGCCGCACATCCAGGAATGCCGGATCCGGCGTCGTGGGTGTCTGTGGCGTGGTATCCGCGCGCGGCTCTGCCGTGTCATCGCTGGCCGCGCGCATTTTCAGTATGGAGCGTCGATTGAACGCGCTCTCCGTATCCGAGTTGACCGAGTAGGAGAGCTGAAAGGAACTCGAACTGCTGCTCGCGTTGCTGTCGCGTCGTCCGCCGCAATGCCCGTCCAGTGCACTACTGTGGCGCTCCAGCTCCGATGGCTGGCCGCTGCGGCGACGCGAGTTGCGCTTGTTGAAGTTCCGATTGCTCAAGTTACGCTCTCGCCGAAACGGCAGCGGGCTGAGATCTTCGTCGGCCATTGTGCTGCGAGTGATCGTGGGAGTGGGGTAGGCGGTACACACCTAGGTAGGCCTGATAGTACTTATCGAGCTACCTCTCACTCTCTCTCAACACTCGCTCACGCCACTAATTAGGCGTTGAGTCTCTCACTCTCACTCTCTATGTAATTATATCGTATTCACAGTCTCTTTCTTTTTTTTTTTTGGGTTTCACAAATTTTACACGCTTTGTTTTGTTGTTTATTGCGTTCTTGAAATGCGTCTCAATTCCACTTGTCCCAGCTTGAGTCAATTTTAATATTGCAGCTCTAGTGTATCCAAATACACATTACATACACACAATTCTTTATCTGGTTTTGTTTGTTGGCGTTTACGAAACACGTATTCGTATCTCGTGCGTTGGCTGTCAACAGCTGCAAAAAAAGAACAAGAAACATTTAAGAATTTAAGCAAATTTTTTGATTAAAGCATTTTATCGCACAGTATGAACAAAAATACATGCATGTGTCCAAAAGCACACAAACATTCCTACACACACGATAAACATATACGAAAGGCTATTATAATAATAAAATAATACATAAAGCGCAAAATAATTTCAAATTAGGCGAGAGCAAACCATATATCTAAATTTAATTTTCGCCCATTAAAGATCATTATATATAATTAGAATTAGTTGGGATGATGCTTGCATGAACAAAATGTGCTACCAAAATAAATGTCTGAAATATTGATTTAGATTCTTGTAGAATTCTTATAATTATATATAATCCTATCTAGATTTATTGCCAAAATAGGTATCGATATTTATCGGTGACAAAGTCTCTGCCAATCGTTATCGATTTTTATCGATGTGAACTTTGTATTGGGTAAATTTCAGACAATCAATATCGATTTAACGATAGTCAATAACAATCGATATCTTTCCATCTACATACTAGTTATGTAAAAATCGTTATTACACTCAAAAAAATATCAATACTAATATCAATATATGTATAATAATTCGATATATGTTTAATAATTCGATAAAAAACTTTCAGATATACTTCTTTGATCGATAACATATGCATTTCGTTATCGATTTTCATGTCGTTGGGCTAAATTGTAGGAAAAAGTAATCGCCTTTTCCACAACTTCCTACCAACTCTAGCGTGTCGCCAGATGTGTGTGCACAAGTGATTTGCAATTCCAGGTAAAGATAAAGCCATACACCATAAAACAATAATATATATAAAATAGCTTTTTTCTGGCATTACTACATGGGCTTTCTAGTGCTTAACTCGCTTAAGTTGCCCGTTAATCTCACAAATATTTGCTTAAAATATGTCAACAGAGAGCACTAGCTAAAAGTGAAATATATAATTTATTTACATGGCGAATGACGTCAAGCGATCAGAGGTTCGCCAGCCAGTCACATATGTAGTTACAAACACACACACGATCTGCTGTAGTTAATTATGTGTGACGTTTAGACTGGGCCAACAAAAACGAAATACACATAGACTTTATACAGCAACAAAGTCAGAAACCGCAACAAAGGTAGGCTAAAATATTTAGGTACGACCGGGTTGCACATGTGTAATTGAAATATATAAATATATATGTGATATGTAATACACTGGTAAACAACAGAAACAACTGCCTTTAAGAATGCCTATTATTGAGCGTCGTGAATGAATATTTGAAGCAGCTGGTGCGATTTATGTCAAAGTAATTCGAATTCTTGGGTCGAAGTCAGCTCAGCCTAGGAAAAGTTTTCTATCGAATTTTTGCAAAAGTAGTCTAAGAATTTTTAGTTATCAGAAATTTTCATTCATTCGTTACAATAGGAGTCCAAATAGTATTAGCCAAAACTTGTCAAAAAAGTTTAAGTTTTTTTTCCCGAATATATATAGAAAAGGCGTAAATTTGCTGTTTTAGATTTGATTTGAAATTGAAATTATGAAACGCTTGAATATATGTGGCGCGTTCTTGGCGCTCTCTGGCCCCGGAACCAAGGAGGACATCATCATTCAGGTGGCCAAGCAACAAAATATCCGCTTCAATGATCTGCCCCAGCTGCAGAAGGAAGTGGACCGTGCGCTGGAGGAGAGCTTGCGCCTCGGCTTCGTGGATCGTCAAGGCCAAATTTATAAGCTCAACATTGACGTGCATAACAAGGCGAATGCAAAAAACTCAACCAACAACAAATCGACGTCGGCCAGCGCCAGCGTAGAGACCACTATGCAAACACATCCGACTCCCGAGAACAAGGCCCAGGGCCAGGGCCAGGGCGACTCCACGCGCAGTCGCTCACTGGTTGACAATTGCAGCCGCATCAAGTCTCGCACCTCATCATGCTCCGCTTGCAGCGCCTTGGACTTTATTAGCACCCAGGACAGGCGCAAGAACACCCACTTTCTGGACAAGCACCTGTTGCGCAAGGAAAAAAGCGTTTGCTCCATTTGCGGCCTAAACAGCGATAAACGCAGTGTCGATGGACAGGAGCCAGAAACCACAACAAATAATTGAGATCGAACATTTTAAAGGTGAGTGAGATGGGTTGAGGTGAGATGTGTAATTCAGGGGATTTAAATAAATTTTTAAAAATTTGTAGTACTATTTTATGTCATTCTATATGATGTCTGATGATGCTACAATGCCAATTATTAATCAAATTAATAATATTATTATAATTATTATATAAACGATATTCTCATATTCTCTTCTCTTCTTTTTCAGTTCTCAAATTTTCGGTTTTATCCCATAAAAATTCGAAGACGTCGGTTAGTATGCTCCAACCCAATTATATTGACCATAATTGACCCATAAACATTTTTTATTGCGTGTAGCAATTATTTTTGATTCATGCGAATAAACAGCTACGAACCCAGATGACATTGGCTTTGGTTATCCAGCGAGGGCAGTGGGGGTGGTGGTGTTGGTGGTGGGAGTGTTGTCAGTTGTTGTTGGCATTTGATTTGTTAACCCAGTTAGATAGCTGTGCTGTGCACTTGACTTGCTGTGGCCACAACATTTTTCGACAAAACGATGCGCACACACACACACCGTGTACGTAGAAGGCCCTGAGCTCTTATCAACCAATGCCGTCGATAAGAAATTATCTTTTATATAGTTGCCGCCATATTTTCGAGCAATCATTAGAATTTTCAATTGCATTCGGGCTCGCTGGGAATTTCTAAGGTAAAGCCCACTGGAATGGGTAAAGTAGCAAAAGTCCATATATCATTTGGTATTGTATAAGGGCATAAGCCCAGCGGCTTTGTTGTCGCAACAGGTGAGATTTTAATGACTTCAGTTTCTACAACCCCGAAAAGAGAAGTAAACCACACAATAAGATTTAATTATTTTAATGCGTTTGCCTGCGATTCAGAACACGCGCTGCTGCCACTCTTCAATGCGTTGTTGCCAATTTGCACAGCAATTCGAATGCACTTAAGGCTTAAGTACTTGAATACATCTTGTCATCTAATGAACTCATGAGTCTTTGTTTGCCATTGACTGCTTAAAAGCAAAAATTAAGGGCATTAGCACTCCCAATCAAATTATATAAAAGTGGGGAAGTCGGATATCTATAGGAATTTAATGAGAATTCTTTTATGACTACTTTGATATTTATTTCTAATTCTGTAAATGCGCATTCAATCTATATATAAGAAGAATAAAGTTTAGGGCGGTCTATGTGACAAAAAATTTAATTTTTACACAAACTATCATATAGTTTTGCTATTGTATGAGCACTGAGTCACATCCTTTACAAATTGAAATGAATATAATAAACAAAAATACAAAGTAGAGTTCTCTCTGATAAGCGGCAAACGGAATTGTTTTACAGGTAAGCTCAGCAGTAATAGCGCTGCCGATCCGCCTGAGGTTACTCGATCTGCTATTTATAGAGACTAATCGCATCTGAGACTTCAAACAGGTTACGACCAATTCATTGTGTTTAACATTATGTGTTTTTATGGCTCTTGCTGCAAGTACAAAAACCAACAATTCGCTATCTCTGTCTCTAATCTATCGATTGGGGTTTTAAAAGCCTTTTCTACGAATTTCCGGCATAGAAATAAACTGCAATATAATCATAAAAACAAATGCCTGATACGATTGTATTATGTAGATAAAAAAGGGAGTTTTTTTAGTTGTTAGCGCTCAGATTTCCATACTAGCCGACAATTTAGTAAAATGTGATCAATAGGTATATGTATTTTGAATACTTGGAATCTTTCAGCCCTGAATAAAAAGACTATTTATTAGGAAGCAGATGCTTTATGACATAATATGCTAAAAACGAATAGTTTCCTGACTCCGATCGATTAACTTATAACTGATATTTTTATGAAGTTCCGTTTAAACCAGCTTTGTACAGATGTTTCCCATCGTGCATTTTGAAGCTAATTCTCTGGCTTTTTTCATGTTTTAATTATTGTTTTTATTTATATTTTATATTTTACTGTCGTTGTGTGTATCGCTGCTCGATAAGTTAGGCAAATAACGAGCTGCTGAAAAATAACAAAAAAAAAAAAAAAAAAAAAAAAAAACTGACAATAACCGCAACTGATACGAGGCAGTACGTAAAGGCACACGCGAGATCCTACAAAATTTTGTTAAATACGCTACTAAAATGCGAACAAATAAATGTAGCAATAAAGTGAACAAAAAACCCACACAAAAACAGAGCCCGAGAGAGAGAGAGAGAGAGAGCGAGAAATAATGTATATGAGAATGTATGCGAGGAAGAGAGATATATATGACAACTGCTGTTTGACAGCAATAAATACAAAAACAAAACAAAAGCGCTATGTAAAAGCGTTTTGCTTTACTATTTCGGATCATGTTTTTTTTATTATTTATTTATTTTTTATGTTTTCTTTTTTTATAATTTGTGTGCACGTGTTAATTAAGCAATTAGCTAGCTGTAAGCGTGCATAGGTCATTTTTATTTTTTGTTGTTAGTTTTCTTGCTGGGGCTTTCCAAGCGTTTTCGTGCTTTGGTATATGAGCATATATGTACATAAATACGTGTAAGTCTTGTTCTCTTGCCAATTTCGGCACTTACATTGTTCGGCAGCCACTAAAGGTTATGCCACCTTTAAGGTCAGCCTCAATTGCAATGCAACAACTCATTAAGTCTGTTCGAAAATCAGTTGAAAAGTTCTACAAGTTCATGAGCCGCAGCGCACACGACGTATACGCAATTCGCACACGCACGCACACACTGAAAGCGCGCACTCTCTCACACACACACACACTAACAGACGCTGACGGCAGAGTCGTCGCGGTTGTTGGTGTTACTGTTAACTGTTTTGCGCAGACACGACAGAGACAGACGATGACGAACTGTTTTCAAATAAACGAACGACGAACGGCTGAGCGACGGCAGCGAAACGTTCAGCTCACCTGCGCATTTGAATTGGCACTGATCCGGAATTCGCGCATTGCAGCAAGTGCGCCGTCGCCGTCGGCGTCGGCGACTCTCACGTCACAGTGGGCCAATAGACAAATTGGCAAATTTAAACTGAAGGTTGAAACACAGATTTACAGCTCCGTAATTAGAGATATTTTAACAGTTAAGAAATTTGTTTATCGAATTGAACGATTGCTCTACATTATTCTTAGTATAATTATTAATAATATTTATTAATTATTAATAATTTCATTGTAGCTTAAATGATTATTGATACACTTATTTTCACTTCGAATATTAAATATAATTAATAAATACAATTTCCAATTCTATAATATCGGCATCTTCATACACCTCATCCATTTTGGAAATTTCGCAGGATTCGTCCCACAGTGCAGTGTGCTGAATCTTCCTCTTTCTCTTTGTAGCGACGCTCTTGCTGTTGTTATTGTTGTTGTCGCTGTCGACTGCTAACTGTTTGCTTCAGTTGTTGGCGTTGCTTTTGCTGCGCCGACTCCGCCGTTTTAGTTATAATTTGTTGTTGTTGCTTATTGTGTTCTGTCATTATTATTTAGATTGCACACTCTCACACAATTTAGCAGCTGTGACCGTGTCTGTGGGTGTGTGCGTGCTTGACTTTGCTGTGCTGTTGTTTTTGTTATTGCTTGTAGTTGTATCGGTGAGTTCGCCGCATTTTCTACAGCAAATTATTGTCATAGTTCTTTTTGTTGCTGCGCTTTTATTATTTCGCTTTTTATTTACATACATGCAGGCGGCATAAATTCTTAATTAGTCTAGGCCGTCAAATACAATGGCTTCCGTCTTAAGATCTACTGGTAAAATGATTGTCACCGCTTCTTCTCCTTCATCTTCTTCTCGTTGTTGTTGTTGTTACCTGAGAAAATTCTCAAAGCAAGCTATTATTTTCTGTAATGTCAAAGTGAAAACGTAAATATTTCAAAAATTTCATTAGTTTCATCAGCTGTTCTCAGGCGTGTTTCCACGAAAATACCTTAAATAAAGAAAAACCTGTTTAACAAATCGAAAATACTTTGAGGTAAGTTAGTCCAACTTTTTATTAGTTTCATATTTCCTAGGCGTAGTACAGTAAGCCCAATACATGCAAGCTCATTATCTTATCGGCTTTTAAGCATTTTTTTTATTTTGCACCAGTTGGCAATTCGATGACCGCCAATACAAGCATTGAGGCCAATTGGTCAAGTTGGTACTAAAGAATTTTGTTCATTTTCCGCTTATCTTTTCAAACGTTCTGCTTAGGCCAACACAAATTACGAGAGGGGACTTACCGCTGGTGAAATTGAAATTCTATTATTTTTAATCTTAACTGCGCACAAAATATTGCCTTTATATGCAATCGATGCAAGCTTTTTAATTGGCGCTAACCATTTTTAAAAATATTGAATTGGTATAGCAAAGAGCTTTTAACAGGGCATAGCTGCCTATGCAAAGTTTTTCAATCATGAGACAAGCAGCTGTTTTTGCCTAGCAAGCAGTGTATACTTAAGCAGTTCACGTAACGTAAGCAGTGTCAACTACTTACAGTCAAACAATAAAAGCGGCTCAATTTGAATTATTTTTAAAAGTCAACTTACCTCACCATTTAAAGATCAGGAGTGTTTATTTAAATATTGTACTATTTTATATAGATATATGCTTTCTGATCAAAATGTTGGTCCTCGCATTAGATTTTAATAAAAGAATTAATTAAATATTTGTATAGCCGCTTACTACCAGTTTATAGTCAGTTGGACTTTGTGTACCTTACACTGTACCATAAACAAGCTTGGCAAATGTTCAGATTTCATAGTCTGGCGCCGAAAGGTTTAAACAGCCAACGAATTAGCGACTCACCGGCTCATGTTGGCGTTGTAAAAACTTTCCTCTACCTCCGATTGTTGTTTTCTCATTAACTGTAACCCAAAACACAGCTCAATGTCTAACGGAAATGGCCTAATGGAAAAATCCTTTAGTCAACCAAGATCATTAAGATGCGAAACGATAATAAATGCAACCCAATTACTGAAGATCAAATGAACATTATTCACACCGAAATCTAGCTAAAGATTCTTTTCTAGTAAATATTGCCTCATCTAAGCTGTTTAGACTAGCATTAAATAAGTCAAATAAGCTTCAGCTCAACTAAAAGCTGTGCAAAATATTTGCTTAGCTGTAATTGGTTCATAATTGAAAGCTTGCCAAATATTTGGTTGAGTCCCAAACAAATCGAACAAAAAATCAATACACTTGACTCTCTGCAAGAAGAGAAACCACAAATCAATAAAAACTTAAGAGCATAATGAATAAATTATAGCTAAAAAGCTAATTGCAAAGCCCAATTGGGAAAAAGTGCACACAAACCCGTAAACAAGCCAAATAGATAAATTCAAATCTAGAAGATATTTAATTGAATTCATCAGGCAAAAATTCCTTTGTAAGGCATTAAAAAAGGCACATGTCAGAACGCCCACGGTCGCACACATACATACATATGCATATGAGCGTATCAAAGGCAATTACTCTCTTACTAACACACACTCGAATAAACAAACCGGCCGCCGGCCGCCGGCTACTTACCGGCTTAGTTGCTCTCTCTCTCTCTCATTTCTTTGCAGTCTGCTGCTCAGAGAGCGGAGCGGAGCTTCGAGCAATGTGTGGATTTATATATGTATATTCATATGTACTTAGGTAACATAAATATTCTTTTAGTCCGAGCAGCTGCATTTGTTCTTTTTAATTGGCAACAGCATTGGCTTAAGCTAATTAATTATTCATCTCGATATGCAACAGTTCTTATTTAAATACCAGTCAAAATAAAAAGTAACACGCAAACATTCTAAGAGCGGGGGACAGAGATAGAGAGGCAGTGTGATGCACACACACACACACACTCACACATATGTACCGATCCGCTCTTGGTGGCTCTCTGTGCGTCGTCGCCTTAGCATCGTTTTTTCGTTACTCGGAGCAGTTGCATGTGGGAGTGTCGCCGCCCATGTAGTCAATTGGAACGTATAAAAGCCGTTGCTCAAGTTCTCCAACAATAGTCGGCGTTCATTGCTGTTGCTTAGGTGCTGTGATCGGTACTCAGGTTCAATTGATTCTCCTGTTTGCCAGTGTGACCAGCCGTGTGTCAAAAGAGCCAAACTCCAAAACGAACATCTCGAGGGATTTGGAAAGCGCAGCTGGAGCTGATTTATTGATTTGATAAATTCTCTGAGGTAAGGCACAAGTGCACTGGACATGAAGGATGAGCCATTTAAAATTGAAAGCACATACTAAAGTAAATGCTTAAGTGATGTAATTAACTAAATGCTCGAACGGTTTCCTTTGCCAATTTGATAATCGATTTTCGGATGCCGAGCACCGAAAGCCGAACAACGTTGAACTTCGTCTTCGTTATTTTGTGCGATCGTCTTATCTAAATTTGGAACTGTCTTTTCTTCTATTGATTTGTGGGTCAATCGATTCGAAATCGAAAAGTTTTGAACTCGTTTCGGGCACTCGCAGTTCTTGCCTATGACTCGAATCATTCGCACGCAAATATGTGAAGGACAACGACGTGTGTGGACCAAACCTAAACCCAATCAAACGAGATATCGAAACGACAAGCGAATTCTACGAATCGCACTACGAAAATAGTAAACTCAAAATCCAAATTTTTCTCAATCGTGGAGTGCGCGTACGAATTTCGAAGCGTGAGGTACTTAAATTTAACGTGCGGAACAATTTCACAATAAATTCTCAGTGCAACACAAAACTCAATTCAGCAATGATCAACTAGCTTATATAATACACACAGTATTCAAGAAAACTATTCCAAATTGATAATGGACTAAAAAAACAAACATTTTTACACTCGAATCAGTTAGTTCTCAGTGCGGCAATCGAAAATGTCATTGATAAGAATTTGTCTGGAATCTTGATCATTTGGGTTCATCGTTTATCAGTTGCTTGGGTCGTTTCCCAGTGTACTGATCCGAAAGTTTTTCTATATTTTAAGACCATCTGGCAGTTGATAACTGAGCGTAGCACGTGCCACTAGTTGATTAAATATGAAAATATTTATTGATTTATATTCATCATTCGAGTGTAAAATGCAAGTGCAATTAAAATATGCAAGTGCTTCAGTATAGATAGAGGAAGCTCACAGAAAATGTTTTTACAAAGGGATATGTCAAAAAATATGATTTCATTTTCTGTATAGCAAAAAAAAATATTGATTAGAAAAACTTAAATTATTCAATAATAGTCGATATTTTTCAATTAGATATTCTTAGCATTTATTGCTAACCCCTTTATAGTTTTCCCAGACCCCTTTTGAACTAGTCGCAACAATTTCTTGACATTTTCGTACAAGTCTCGCACGAAGCAAAAAGTTGAAAATCGATTTCACACAATTAAGTGCGAGGGGGCTTCGAGACCAGGCAATGGGACAATGGGGCAACATCAAATGGCATTAAAATAGCACAGAAACGAAATTTAATTAAATCATGACACTAAAATACCCCCTCGATGGATCTTGCCAAATTAAATTCAATTGAAGTGGCCACAGCAACAGAGCAAGAGAAAGACAGAGAAGGAGAGGGAGAGAAAGAGGGAGAGTGAAAAGGAGAGAGCTATAGTCGAATAGTGAGAGACGTCAAATCGTTTGCAATTTGAGACACGAAATTGCAGCGGAAGAGGCGGCCCGATCGGGCATTACTAGTGGAGGGGGGTGGCAGAGCAACTGATTGACTGATTGACTGACTAACTGACTGATTGACTGGGCAAACGGCCAAAAGTCGCAATGAAGACTGCCTGCAGCAGCTGGAGCCCATTCGCCTTCTCCATCGCACAGCAAAAGGGCTTCGCGTCACTTCCTGTCGAGCACTTAATATGATCATAAAAAATAAAAATACAAAATAAAAACAATGAATATAGGGGCGTAACAGTGCGCCAACGCCCCAACTTGCAAGCAGAACCAACTTGATCTATGTGCTATAAACGCGTCGTTCAATGCGAATTGTGTGGGTGCGGGTCTGCAACTGCGTCTGCGACTGCGACTGCGACGGGCTCTGGCTCTGAATCGGTATCTGCATCATGTCTCTGTTTGCCCTTGGCCCCCTCAGCTCCTCCTGGTCTCCTGCTCCTCCTCAAGTAGTGTCTCTGGCATAATCGTTGCATTTCCGCTTTGCAGCCATAATAGTTCCATAAGAAAATGCTCACAATATATACCTATGCACATATAAATATATATTTATAAATATATATTTATACATTTCTATATAGTTGTACTGCAATTATATGGTAATTATTGGGCTACACATTTTGATTTATTGCAATCGCCAGCTGTGGAATGCTGGCAAATTGGAGGTAAAGCCTAAAGCTCCAAATATGGGCAAATCGAGCAAATCTAAAGAAATTCTTTGTCTTAATTATAGAGCAATGAAGGTTAAGTTGTGTAATGCAAATCAACTAACTGTAAACTGTACTAGAGATCAAATTAATTCAAAAATATAAATATAATATATATCTATATTATATACATTTGTGCCATATCAAATTAAGTAGATGGAAAAAGTATAGTCTATATAATATAAGATTCTTTAACTGGCATACTCTCCAAACTAAAATAGAAAGTCTTTGCAAATATACAAAATATTGTTATTCGTTACAACTTTTCTAGAATCAAACTAATATATACTAATTAACATATCAAGTTATATATTTAGACAAGTCAAAGATTTCGTCAATTATAACTTTTCTAGAACTAATCTATACTAAGTAGCATTACAAGTATATTTGAGCGTGCCAAAAATTTCTATTTCGTGCCTTGGCATTTTGTGCTCAATGGAAACTTCTAGGAGAAACACGTGTCGAAATCATTCATCAATTCATTATCATTGTTATTGTGAAATAGAAGCCCTATAGCAGCGATAACCACATACAAATTTCGATTGTATGGCTATTTTTTGTTTTTGAATAAACTGTATTAAATTCACAGGTTTTTGCATAGTATAAACCGCGGAAAGCTAGTCGGGTGGCGTTTGACCCACCGCTTTTCTTATCTGAAAAGCAGTAAACTAGTTCGTGTAGCACAGTAAATTACCGAATAAACTGATTATTACTGGGCTGGAGTACACTCTATGTACACTCTACTCCATTCTCCAAATGCCAACTTTTATAAACAATTGATAAGTTTCTGTTTGTCGGCTGTTATCTCAATCAGCCTCGCATGAACAAACAAACACAGCACCCTGATTATGACAAGGGCTTTGTTTACAGCCGATAAGAAATATCTGCTGTGTCCATGCATATTTTAAACATACATATATGTAATATAGTGATGATGATGATATGTGATACTCACAGTTGGTATTCCTCTCCGATTTCGGTAATAGGGAATTGCATTGAGTAAGCGGAGAAATGGCCGATGAAGCACAAGCACCACCAGCTGAGGGCGCACCACCAGCAGAGGGCGAGGCGGCACCACCAGCCGATGGCGAGGCACCACCTGCCGATGGCGAGGCAGCACCACCCGCCGAGCCCGCCGAGCCGATCAAGCACAGCTACACCCTCTTCTATTTCAATTTGAAGGCACTCGCCGAGCCGTTGCGCTACCTGTTCGCCTATGGCGGCATCGAGTACGAGGATGTGCGCGTCACCCGTGACGAGTGGCCAGCCCTAAAGCCGAGTAAGTGGTGCAACCACAGCACTCCATGTGCCATAGACACTCGCATACAAGCTCTCATTCCTTTGCCATCATCTTAGCCATGCCCATGGGACAGATGCCGGTGCTGGAGGTGGATGGCAAGCGTGTGCATCAGAGCATCTCGATGGCCCGCTTCCTGGCCAAGACCGTCGGCCTGTGCGGCGCTACGCCCTGGGAGGATCTGCAGATCGACATTGTGGTTGACACCATCAATGACTTCCGTCTAAGTAGCGAACAATGTGTGCTTCAGTTGCATGTTCAGTGTCCTTGATTAACTCTGGAATTTTTAATGTATAGAAATTGCAGTCGTCTCGTATGAGCCCGAGGATGAGATCAAGGAGAAGAAGCTGGTCACCCTAAATGCCGAGGTCATTCCATTCTACCTGGAGAAACTGGAGCAGACCGTCAAGGACAATGACGGCCATCTGGCTTTGGGCAAGGTACCAACAGGCAGCTGTCCCTTTACCTTAGCATTAACTAATCCCGCATCTCTTCGATTAGCTCACCTGGGCCGATGTTTACTTTGCCGGCATCACCGACTACATGAACTACATGGTCAAGCGTGATCTGCTGGAGCCCTATCCAGCTCTCCGTGGCGTGGTCGAAGCCACCAACGCTCTGGAACCCATCAAGGCCTGGATTGAGAAGCGTCCTGCCACCGAGGTTTAAGCTGGAGTAGCTAACATTTAAAAAAAAAACAAATCGGCAGCAAGTGCGAAGGGGAGAATCGTTGCATAGCAATAACTATAACAACAACAACAACAACAACAGCACGCCACACTACACATTTTATTATTATTATGAATATTATTACTTCCATCATTATTTTATCACACATTTGATTCCCTTTTAAATGGGGTTCACAGGACCTACTTGAGGGGAACTTGAGCCGCGCACGGGTTAACGTTCGGGAATTTTAAACATACATATATGCGTAGTCCTTTAGCACATGGCACTTAATAATTCTTTTTGGCTTAATTCTCTTTGCATTGCCTCGAAAATACGTAACGAATCAGCCTATGGAACTATTTTCTAGCTTTAAAGTTCATGACTATAAAAAATCAAGAAAAAAAAAAATTTATTGCACAGTTATAATATTGCTCTACTTTTAGAAAATACTCCTAGTACATAGTATATAAAGCTCTATACGTAATATCTATATGTTCCACATCCTATAAGGTTATGATATTCAAGTCTATCGTTAGTTCAATGCGAAGAGTTTTCAAATATTTACAACATCACAACACATACAACTACAACAACAATAATTATCGCAGCAGCAACAACAACATTAAATAGCCGCGACAACGACGCAAATATTCTTTTGTTTATTATATTTATTTTGCTTTTATTTATTATTTTGATTTAGGCACATACTTTCGTCCAGCCTCAAGAATTTTCGACGTCCAACCATTTAAGACCTTTGAAAAAGATCAAGAAAAGACTCACAGACATAACTTCAAAATTCAAATATTGGTTAATTGGAATTCAAAACGAGAACAAGTTAAATTCTAGACTCCACACAGACAACAACTGCCAACACATATGACATTTTAATTTTTTTTTATTAAATTTTTATTTTGTATTTAATTAATCACGTCAAACATTGTATTTGTATTTTTAAATATTTGCACAATATTAAAAACACACATTTTGAATAAACTACACACAAAATAAGAATTGAGCATACTTTTTGAAAGCACGAAAATTGTTTTTATTTTGTTAGGAAAATAAAAGGAAAAGTTGCCAAAAATAATAAAATGAAAAATTGCTATGGCAAAAACATAATAAATAAATGCATTCAGAAAAAAATAAATTGATCCAATACAAATACATATAGAATCTATTTTTTTCCAAAAGACAGTTGGATTATTGGTGGATTATACAAATCAGATATATGTACATATCTAACTATATTTATCGAATACAACAAAAGATATTCCCTTGGGGGGTTATCTGGAATTGTAATGTAAGTTCCTTTCTAATATTAAAATTTATATTTTTAGCACAATAGAAAATATATAAATTAAAAATATCACCAAGCATCCAAAAATGTATGTTTGCAAATCATTTTAATTCACGTTTTTGATTGCGGTCAAACTCATATAGCAAAATCGGAAGTGAAATAAATAAGGTATTGAATGTTAAATAATTGAATCAAGGGAAATTTTCTTAAAAAGTTGACAAAATGCTTTTAGTATTAATTAAAATAATAGCATTCCTATTCGTTGAGAAGCCATTTTCCTAATTAGTTGCGACATACCCGTGTATATAGTTATGCAAATTACATATTAACTTACCGCAGCTTATAAAAATAAAAAATCAGATAGGAATGCAAAGCATATAAAAATGTAACAAGAGATTAACTATATTTTTCTGTAAAGAATTAAATGCACAATTGGTCAGATCTATGAAAATTTCGTGTTCCGGTTTAGTTGGTATGCTTCCAATTAGGCGGACGTTTCTCAACAAAGCTGGACATGCCTTCTTTGCAGTCATCCAATTCCAGATTTTCATTCATTTTTGCCTTGGCCTTTACGTAGGCTTGCTCAAGCGGCAGATTTAGCTGCTCGTAGTAGAATTCCTTGCCGAGGGCGATCACTGCACGGCTCTTAGCTCTGATAGCGTTAGTTATATCATCGATGGTTTTGTCCAGCTCGCTTTCGGGTACGACTTTGGTGACCAAGCCGGCAAGGTAGGCCTCTTGGCCACTTATTGGCAGACCAGTCATAAGCATATACGCAGACTTGGGACGTGACATAACGCGTCCAATAGCTACGCCGGGCGTATTGCAAAAGATGCCAACGGCAGCGCTGAAAACGAAAGTCAAAGATCAAAAATTGAGCGATTAGAAACGAAGATTAACTATCTACCCAGGTGTTGAGAACATGCTCTTGTCTGTGGCCACAATAATGTCACAGGAGGCCACCAGTTGGCAGCCTGCCGCAGCGGCGTACCCATTCACCTTTGCTATCACCGGCACAGGTAACTTCTTTATGCCCAGAACTAGGTCCGTACATTTCTGGAATACAGCATCACGATATTTCAAATCATCAGGCTGCAGTTGCTTCAAGTTGTGACCAGCCGACCAAACTTTTCCCTGGGCAGTGAGGACAATGCAACGGAGATTCACATCATCCCGATCCTTGTTCAGAGCCTCGTCTAGAGCGCACATCATATCCATCGATAGCGAATTTCGTGTAGACGGATGACATAATGTGATTTCGCGGACGCCATTATTATTTCTCACCTACATATAAAGTGACAATAAATGCATAGCTTAGCATAGTAAGTACATAAGCTTACCTTCAAAAATTCTTCAGAATTTAAACTACTGAAGAAACGAATAGGAGCTAAGCGTCTACACTGCGTAAGAACATATATATAATTAAAAATACTAATTTTTGTATTAAGTAATATAATTACCACTTTTAATGTACTTGGCAAAGTACGCAGCATATTCGTTTAAATAAAAACTTTACTAAGTGGCAAAAGGATCGACTGTTTACCTTAAAACTTTAAAAAGGAATATCAGCTGTTTGCGATCAACCGCATACTCGATGTTAGCACACGACTGCAACATCGAAACTATCGATATTTATTGTTGTAGTATCGATACTATGCAACAGCTGTAAGCTCATTTGTTTAGTAACATTTTCAACTGCAACACAAACAAATGCCATAAGTTAAAGTAATTTGCATTTAATTTTAGTAATTTCACCAATCACAAATCTTAATTACCTGCCAGAGCGACAGGTGAGTGATCTTTACGCACCTTACATATGAAATGTATTCATTCCTTTGTTGTAAAGCAACAGCAAAACAGTTGTTTCTAATAAATCGTTAATACATACACAATGTGTATGGAATGCGCACGAAACGCTTATCAGGTATCAAGAGCGTTTTGTTTCCGATTATCAGTTCCAGCTAGTTGCACACATTATTTTAGTTATTGACGCGTTGTTCACTCGTGCGGCGGTCTACAGAGCAACTCTCATATATCGACTTTCATTTTAGCTGTGCTTCATTTGGCAAGAAAATGCGTCCTTTCAATGCCGGCGATTGCCTGAAGCCAGTCGGGAGCTCCATCAACCGCGCCTTCGGGAACAAAGAGCCCTGGCAGATCGCAGCGATTACGGCGACAACTGTGTTGGGCTTCGTTTGGATTTGGACCGAGCTAAGCAAGGATGAAGGTAAGCGGCTGGCATTTTGCTAAAATATTTAAGTCCATTTAAATAATCTTATCATCTACGTTTGTACTTTATAGAGAACTACATAGAAAGAAAATATTCTTTATGTACTTTGAGCTTTAACGACCCACCTTGAGTGATCTATCTAATTGATTGTGGCATAGATTATACTTGTCAACTTAAGATTGGGTGCAAATCAAATGCCAAACGGAACTGTGAATTATAACCAGAGCTATATATGTATTTTGTATATAGATGTAGATCACAGTTCATACGCGATCTGATGAGATTTACTGATTTAAAATTATACTTTTCATGTGCTGGTAGACATATTTCATAACTTTTAGTGCTTGCTCTATCAGATATTAAAAGTCTGGCTTTTTATCAGTTCCCATATAATTATGTGGCACCATTTCATAAAAAGAGCTTACCAGCTATGACTAATTAATACTGGGCAAAGGTCTTATGACATGCAATCGTTAACTGAAATTTGTAGTCCCAAGATATAAGTGAAATGCTATCTAAAAACTGAATCTAAAATGCTGTATAAAAAAAAACAAAAACAAAGTTTTTTAAACAATCGGAAAGCGTGACAAAAGTCATAAAGAATATAGTTCTTTAATCAAAGCGAGACGCTGACTCGAGCGTTCCTTATAGGAACATCAAACGGTAGCTAAATATATATTAATATATATTTATATTCTTCTATAGTACAGGGAACCAATGATAAGAAATAAAGCTTTAGAACGTACAAAGCCACAGGCTTAGAATATCTTCTAGTCGAGCTCTCCCGACTGTAACAATTAAAGAAACTTTAAACTTTTCATTAACATTTAACATCCCTTTCTATAATGTATTTACATATATACATTTTTCTTTAGTTCGTAACTTAATCTAAAAGTGAATGGTTTCGCTAAATTAATGATCGATTTTTAAGTACTCACCGGTTGGCTACCGTTATGAGCGTCTAACAAATGTTTTATTACTCAATATTCAATTTGGTGCTCGATAACCATGAATTAAAATTTTTTGATATGACCACGCTTATCAGTGAGTTGATAATTGCAAATATAAGAAATGCCTCAGTTTATCTATGAATCTAATAGTAGTATTACTTTTCTTACAGATTTCTATGTGCGCGGCAAGCGACAGTTCTTTAAGTTGGCCAAAAAGCTACCAGCTGTTCGCCGGCGCGTGGAGAAGGAGCTGAAGAAGGCTAAGGACGATTTTGAGTCGGATATTAAGAATAGCAATCAGCACCTGCAATACTCGATACGTCTACCCGAGAAGGGTTTATCCAAGGAGCAGATTCTTAGCCTCGTGGACGAGCATCTCAAGGCTGGTCACTACAGCTGGCGTGATGGGCGTGTTTCAGGCGCTGTTTACGGCTACAATCAGGAGCTTGTGGAGCTGGTGAAAGAGGTTTATGGCAAGGCTTCCTACACGAATCCCCTTCATGCTGACCTATTCCCAGGTGTGTGCAAAATGGAAGCCGAAGTGGTGCGCATGGCCTGCACGTTGTTCCACGGTAATGCGGACAGCTGCGGTACAATGACCACCGGCGGCACGGAGTCCATTTGCATGGCCATGAAGGCGTATCGGGACTATGCTCGCGAGGTGAAGGGCATCACTCAGCCCAACATTGTGGTTCCTCGTACAGTGCACGCAGCCTTTGACAAGGGCGGCCAGTACTTCAATATACACGTGCGTTACGTGGACGTCGATCCGGAGACCTATGAAGTGGACATTAAGAAGTTCAAACGTGCCATTAATTCGAACACCATTCTGGTAAGCAAACAAATGTCCAATTCATGCACATCATGATCTTCAACTGATTTACTACATAGCTTGTTGGCTCTGCGCCCAATTTTCCATATGGTACCATGGATGACATCGAAGAAATTGCCGCCTTGGGCGTTAAGTACAATATACCTGTGCATGTGGACGCTTGCCTGGGCAGCTTTGTCGTTGCTCTGGTGCGCCATGCTGGCTATCAGCTGCGACCCTTTGACTTTGCTGTGAAGGGCGTGACGAGTATCTCAGCCGATACGCATAAATACGGCTTTGCACCCAAGGGCTCTTCGGTCATCATGTATTCGGAAAAGAAGTTCAAGGATCATCAGTTTACGGTCACAACCGACTGGCCTGGCGGCGTCTACGGTTCACCCACTGTGAATGGCTCTCGTGCTGGTGGCATCATAGCCGCCTGCTGGGCAACGATGATGAACTTTGGTTACGAGGGCTATCTGGAGGCTACCAAGCGCATTGTCGACACCGCGCGTTACATCGAGAGGGGGTAAATATTGTTGACATTATATTCAAACTCAGTTTGTTATTCATTATTAATTTTTTTGCAGCGTGCGTCAGATCGATGGCATCTTCGTCTTTGGCAAGCCAGCCACATCTGTTATTGCCATTGGCTCGAATGTATTTGATATTTTCCGACTCTCAGATGCGCTATGTAAGCTAGGCTGGAATCTAAACGCACTC